TCCTCCTCCTCCTCCTCCTCCTCCATCTCCTCCTCCTCCTTCTCCTCCTCCTCCGCCCCCCCTCCTCCTCCTTTCGTCTCTCATGGGGCGCAGAAGGGCATACAGTCCAAACTGGTAGCATGGACGCGCAGCAAGGATGCAAGCCCCTTGGGCGCCCATGTGTCGAAGCGTTTCGAGCGGGGCTGGCCGTCGAGAGTGGATAAGGAAGGGCCGAAGAGGCAAGGATGCCAGGCTATCGGGGCTGCACTTTGGAAGAGAACTGAACACATACGACCTCGGAGGTTGTGGGGGGGGGAGAAGGGGGGAGTCAACATCTTACTCTATCGATCTCACTATCGATCTCACTCAATGGGACACCACGGGACACTTGTCGATCTCACTATCGACGTCACTATCCATCTCACTCAGCGGGACACCACGGGACACCACGGGCCACCACGGGACACCACGAGACACCGCGGGACACCTCTCGATCTCACTATCGGTCTCACTATCGATCTCACTATCGATCTCACTCAACGGGACACCACGGGACACCTCGGGACACCACATCGATCTCAGTATCGATCTCACTATCGATCTCACTCAACGGCACACCACGGGACACCACGGGACAACACGGGACACCTGACGATCTCACTGTCGATCTCATTATCGATCTCACTTTTTGGGACACCACGGGACACATCGGGACACCACATCGATCTCAGTATCGATCCCAGTATCGATCTCACTATCGGTCTCACTCAACAGGACACCACGGGACACAACGGGACACCTCGGGACCCCTGTCGATCTCACCATCGATCTCATTATCGATATCCCTTTTTGGGACAGAACGGGACACCTCGGGGCACCACATCGATCTCACTATCCACCCACTATCGATCTCACTATCGACCTCACAAGGCGGGACACCACGGGATACCGCGGGACACCGCGGGACACCGCGAGCCACCCCCGGGCGGGCGGAAGGGGGAGAATCATTTGTCTTGACTTCGCCCCAGCAGCGGCGGACACCACGGGTCACCACCGGACACCACGGGACACCGCGGGCCACCGCCGGACAGGCGGGAGGGGGAGGATCATTTGTCTTGACTTCGCCCTAGCAACGGCAGAGACCACGGGTCACCACGGGAACCACTGGACACCGCGGGCCACCGCCGGACGGGCGGGAGGGGGAGAATCATTTGTCTTGACTTCGCCCTAGCAACGGCGGGTTCATTCCTCTCGCGCGCCCACGCAGCTTCGCCTCGCCCGCACGCACGACACGAACGAAACGAAACGATTTCCCGGTTGGGGTCTCCGTTCCATTGCGATGCCACCCCCCAACCTCCGATAAGCATAAACCGTCGGAGCTCCGCGCGGGTTTCTCGGATCGGCGATGGAGCCCCCTGGCGGAGCCTCGCCACCCCTAGCGCGCTCCGCGCGCCAGGGAAGGGTGCTCCAACGCCGATCCGAGAACTCCGCGCGGAACTTCGAAAGTGTATGTGTATGCCGTTATGTTCTTCTTCTTCTTCGAATAATTCTGCCATGTGGTGATGCTGGAGGCGTACGTCCGACACGAGCACATAGTAAACACACCTTGGAGAAGCATCATTTTTCGACCAGTATGGCCAGTCAGCGCCCGCCACGGAGCTTGTACCACGAGATTTCTGAGCATGCTCTTGTGGGGCCGACGCGCACATAGTATGAGTTTGTTCGGGTGGTGCCCATCTCACGGTTTTAGTTTGTGTTGTCTTCACCTCGGCCTCCTCCGCAGCGTTGTCGGCCGTGGGGAAGGCCAGTGCATCGGACGCGCCGCCGCCTCGGGCGGCGGTATTCCAAGTCGCCCGAACGAGCGCTCAGAACGGGGAGGCGGCCTGGAACGAGACTGCTGCCAAAAGCATACGAATGGAGCACAAGCAAAACAAACACACACACACACACAACGCAAACGCCGCAACGGTAATGCGGTATCACGGGATGCAGAAACATGAGTGCAGTCAGCGCCATCGCTGCCAAAAGCTGAATTGGCCAAGGAGGCAGCTCACCTTTCCATGTCATCGGCACGAGGGCCACTATTATGCCTGTATGGTAATTGTGTCTTTCCTTGGAATCTGCCATCGATTCTGGCATCACTTGTCGAGAACGCATCGCGAAATACTAGGGATCACCGGGGACTCTTGGGGCCTGTCGGCCGCGGAACAAGGGATCGGTTGCGTCGCGATTTGTCGAGGGCGCGAGGCGGAACACAAGGGATCACCAGGGACTCTGAGGGCCTGGCTAACGCGGTATGCGGGGCGGGCGAATGGGTCGGGGAGTTTTTTTTGGACTATCTAGCAAGCCCAACTCTGTCTGGTGGAGAAAAGCACCAACTGTATGGGAGGAACCTACAAAAATACGGGCATGTGTGAGTGAACCTTAACCGAATATATGAAGTAGCCACCAAGAGAAAAGACACGCCCGTGAGAGCAAGGATGGCAACAAGATGTCCACCAACGTTCAAGAATAGATCCTATGGGAAGCAGCTGCGAAACGCCTGCTTTGATGTTATTCGAGCCCTGGGCACCCTGTACGAGCACAAACCATGCATGCGTTGTGATGCGCTCTGCCTCCTGTGGCGACCTGCGCATTTCGACCGAGCTTCGCTTCGTACGCAATCGATCCGTGCTGCACCCCTCGTACACACTCTGCATTTACCGCCCTTCTGAACGTCTGGCGCCACGCCACTGCCGTGCATCAGCTCGTACGAGTTCCACAATCGCGTCAAGTCCTCCGCACTGGCCATGGCACATACAACGCCCTTTGCTGCTCACGCCACGCTCCGTGCACCCTCATTCCAAGCATCTCTCGCTGCCACTCTCGAGCTCACTCCCTGCGCTGTCGAAGACGCGCGGGCCTGCGAAAGAGGCGAAACAACACAAACCAGATGCTGGGCCGTTGTTCCGAGGCGGCGCCGACAGGAAGAACCACCAACTCTCCAGTGGCCAACCTCGTGGCCGCCTGGCGCGCCCCAAGACGGCCCAGAAATGCCCCCAGGCGACCTCAAAGGCCCCCAAGAAAGGCCAACAGGGCTCTCAAGTGCCCCTACGAGAGCTCGCGAGCGTTGTCGTCGTTGTCTTCGTCGCCGTCGTCGTCGAAGTTCCCCTTCAGAGTCGGCGGCACTGGCGGCAAGACCCTCGCAGTCTCCAGTGGCCGCCTCGTGGCCGCCTCGTGGCCGCCTCGGCGCGCTGGCTGATGTCCCCGTCCTTTCGGCCAGTCTTTGGCCGTGGCCGTCTCGTGGCCGCCTCGTGAGGTGGCCGCGCTTGGCTCTACGCGGGCTGCACCGCACGCAGACTGCACCCGGCAGGCTGCACCACCCAGCCTGCTTCCTGCCCGAATGCACCGCTCAGGTTCCTCTACGTGGGTCGCACAGCGCACTGTACGGCAACATGCGCACGTGCAGATACGCGCAGCCCCCTCCCCAACACCCATTGATTTGCCGTCGGCGGTTCGCGCTGTTCGCGTCTACTGTACTCTCCACTCTTACTGCCCCCACGATTACTCATGCTGATATTCCTACTTCTCCAGCTTCCGCATCACCCGCTTGAGCGCATGTTGATCAACTCGCACCCCTACACTCCCTCGCCCTATCACCCCTCGAGTTCATCTGCGCCGTTGCCCTCCATTTCTTTCTCGACCCCACTCCTCCTTCTCCTTCCTCCGTGTCTGATTCCCGCCATCTCCTATTCCCTATTCCTCTTAACGCGTATCCCCAAAACGACCTCCCTCTCATCCATCCACTTCCTTTCTCCCTCATGCCCGCTTGGTCCTCGTTTCGTTCCCCGCTTCTCCCTCAGATTGTCTTCGCCTGTTCTCTCTCGCTCTCTCTCTGTCTCTCTCTCTCTCTCTCTCTATGTATATATGTACCTATGTGTGTGTGTCCCTCTCTCTCTCTATCTCTTTTACTCTGGTTATGTCGTTATGTCTACCTCTCTCCCTCTCTCTCTCTCTCGTTCTCTCGCTCTCTCTATGTGTCCCTCTTTCTTCTTGTCGCTGTTGTGTTTCAAGATTTGTTTTTTTTCTCTCTCTCTCTCTCTCTCTCTCTTTCTATATATGTATTAGTGTCGCTCTCTCGCTCTCTTTCTTTATCTGCCGCTCTCTCTCTCTCTCTCTCTCTCTCTCTCTTCTCTCTCTGTATATGGAAAGTTCTATCTCTATGTATAATGTATATATCGATATATGTATATGCATGTATATACATATATACATACATACATATATATATATATATATATGTATCCCCCCTGTAGATGTGGACGGCGCTTCTCCCGGTGAGGGAAGCCTAATGCTTGTGAGCTATCCACTGGGATACGTGGAATTGCTGAGGTGCTGATCCCAGAAGCCATCAGAGTTCACTGGGATGCTTGGGTCCCGACAAAAATCTACCCTGGCGCCCCCAAGGGCTCCGAATGCCAAAGCCCCAGTGAATTCACAGGGTTCGCAACGTCAGGGAAGCTCAAACCTTACGCTTGCGATCGATGGGGTAGACACCATATGATTTCACTCGGAGGCTTGGGATTCCTGCGATCAACCCTTCCGACAAAAGTCTATCCTGGCGCCTCCCAGGGCTCTGAATGCCAACCACCCGATTGAATTCAGAAGGTTCGCGACGTCAGGGAAGGCCATACCCTGTGATTTCACTGCGGAGCTTGGGATTGCTGAGGTGTTGATCCTAGACGCGAAATGACTTCATTCTGGGGTGCTTGCAATTCCTGGGGTTCCCCACCTCAAACATCCCCTCAAGGGCTCTGAATGCCGTCCATCCCGGTGACGTCGAAAGGTTCGCGACGTCAGGGGAGCCCAAAACATTGTGATTTCACTGGGATGTTTGGGATTTCTGAGGTGCTCATCCCAGAAACCATATGGTTTCAATTGGGTGCTTGGTATTCCTTGGATTTCCCCCTCCAGCAAAACTCCACCCTCGAGCCCCACGGGCTCTGAATGCCAAGCATCCCAGTGAATTCACAGAGTCCGTGACGTCAGGTAAGCCCAAACCCTGTGACTTCACTGGGAAGCTTGGGATGTCTGGTGTGCTAACTACAGAAGACACAGGATTTCACTGGGATGCTGGATTGCTGGAGTATCGTATCTTTGGTTTTGAATCCTGGAAGCTACGAAATAAATTCTTCCGAAGGGGGAGGACGGGCACTCCCAGGAACCTCGCGCATCCCAGCGAAACTGTATGATATCTGGGGGTACCACCCCAGAAATCCCGAGCATCCAATGCAATCGAAGGGTTTGGATTTCCTTGACGTCGAGGACTCTGACTTCAGCGGGACGCTTGGCATTCGGAGCCTTGGGGTGTTCGAGCCAAGGGGACAATCCCAGGAATCCCAATCCTCCCACTGACAGCATATGGTTTTTGGGACTAGCACTCCCGAAATCCCAAGTTATGTGAATGAATTAAATCACAGGGTGTGGGCTGCCCCGACTTGGCGAATCTGGGCGCTTGACATTCGGAGCCTGGGGGGGGGGGGGCAGGATCGATGTTTGTCGGAAGGAGGGATCCCGGGAATCCAGAGCATCCCAGTGAAATCCACTGGTTTCTGGGAGTCGCACCCCAGCAATCCATCCCTAGCCTTCCAATTAAATCACAAGATTTGGGCTTCCCTGACGTCGTGATCTGTGTGAATTCACTGGGACGGTTGGCATTCGGAGCCCTGTGGGGGCTCGAGGGCAATTTTTTCGGAGGGGGAATCCCAGGAATGACAAACATCCCAATGAAATCTTATGGTGTCTGGGGTTAGCACATCAGCAGTGACACGCATCCCAGTGAAATCACAGGTTTCGGTGGCTCCTCGTGTCTGCTGGATGGCTCACAGGCTTCATGTTTTCTCTGCGGGGGAACGCGCTGCTTGTGCAGTGCGCTGGCTAAGGTTGTTGGCCAGCCTAGCAGACAGAGCGCGCGCGCTCGCCAATGGGGACGAAACACATGCGCCAGCAGACGCCAAGGGAATATGTGAGCGAGGACAGGAAAGGAAAGGCGGGAGGATGACAACAAACAAGGGTACCAGACAGAGGAAGAGAAGGATAATGAAAGGAGAAGGGCACCACAACGTCGTCAAAATCAAGAAGGCGATGACTGGGTGCTGGGGGGGACTGCCCATACATAGACTTGCATGGATACATGTACTGTGCAAGTGCATATGTATGTTCATGTATGCATACACATATATAGATATATACATATATAGATATATGGACATACACATCATGGGGACCTCTTGGGCCGTCTCGGGACCAACTTGGCGGCGTCGTTGGTGATTTGGGAAGCCTCTTCGGCCGCTTTCGGCGGGCTCGAGAGTTCCAACATTCCTCCCAAACCAACGGAGAAATCACGGTGTTGACCTCTCGGGCGGGGTTCTCCCGAGCAGCCTTGAAAACCTTCTGGGCAGTCTTGACGCCAACCTGGGCGTCTTGGCGCGTCCGCTGGGCGCCTCGGGGCCCCTTGGGCCGTCCTCGGGGCTTCCGAGGGCCTCCCCGTGGCCCCTCCAGGGTTCACGGCCCTGGAAGCCCCCATAGGTCCTCAGGAGGCCTCTCGGAGGCCCACGCTCCCACCCACGAAGCCCCAGGATGCCCCAAGAGAGCCTGAAGCGGCCTCCTCTTCGTCCTCCTCCTCTCCTCCTCTTCCTCCGCCGCCTCCTCCATTCCTCTCCCGTCTGGACAACTCCTCCCTGTCGCACCCCGAGATGTCCTAGCAGGGAGGGCTTGGCGTTTCACCCGAGGCTCCCCCCCACCAGTTGCGAGCCCGAAGTTTGCAACCTGCCGCAGCTTCACGGATGGAGGGCGGGCCCGGCTCAAACTGTGGCTCTCGCCTAAGCGCCGCGCACATTCGTCTCAACAAATGCAGGCGCTTCACGGATGGAGGGTGGGTGGAGGGTGGGTCCCTCTTCAAAATGCGGCTCTCACCTTAGCGCCACGCACATTCGTCTGAAACGTTAGCAGCAATGATATACCTGGAGGGCGGTCCCTTTTCAAAACGTGGCTCTCGCCCCATCGCCGCGCACAATCGTTTTGCAACAACATATTGGATGGAGGGCGGCTTGTTTTTTTCAAAATGTAGCTCCCGCCTGATCGCCGTGCGCATTCGTCCCACGAGTTCACACACGTATACAGGATTAGTACGGCTTGCGTCCAAGAACAATTGTCTGGGCACTGTGTAGGACTGGGCACAGCAGTCACGTTGATTCGCGGCGTTGGAATTCCAGGGATGCTGTTCTGACACGAGTCAGGGTCAACAGGGCGCGACAATAGCGCTGATTCGCGGCATTGAACTCCCAGGAGTGGTGTTTTTTTTATGTGTCTGGCACGGTCAATTTCTTTCAAACTGATGAGTTTAATGTGGTACGTCCCCAGTGAAAGTAATTCCTTGTAGGGCCTGTGAGGAGGGATGCCTGAGGGAGGGTGTATTGCAACATCGTTGATGGGCCTTGGGGTTACATTGCTTCTCATCCGCCTCCTTGTCCTTCTCCTCCTCCCTCTCCTCGTCCTTTCTCGTCCTCGCCCCACTGCTCCCACAAGAGGTTCCACAACGGCTGGGGAGCACCCGGTCCAATAGCTTGGCCAGGCTTCGACCCAACGTTTGGCCGCATGGGCGGTTCCAAAAGGCAGGGAACGGCGGTGATTCGGAAGGAAGCCCCCCAGGAAGCCCCCCAGGACAGCCTCGAGAGCCATGCTATATTCTGACCCCTCTCTGTCCTCCTCCCTCTCCTGCTTCGCCTCGTCCTCCCTCTCTTCCTCTCCCGCGGCTGGGGGAACGCATGGCCCCACGGCTTGGCCAGACCTCGGCCCAGCGTTTGGCTTTGGCCGCAGGGGCGTTTCCGCAAGGCAGGGGGCGGCGAGGACTCGCCGCGGGCGTCGTTGAGAACGCCATGCGGGCCACACGAGCGCGCCCCCGCAGCACCGGTAGGGGGCCACATGGGAACCCTACCCCTAATTACCGCCCACGATTTCTGAGGGGGATGGTGGGGTTCGCTTCGCTCGAGAGCTCCCGAGCGAAGTGAGCACCGTTAGGGGGCCACATGGGAACCCTACCCCTGCCGTCCACGATGTCTGAGGGGGAGGGTGGGGTTCACCTCGCTCGGCAGCTCCCGAGCGAAGTGAGCTCCCATGTGGCCCCCTCATCGCTACTCATGCCCCAGGTTGGGCCACGACAGCCGAAGCTCGTGAAGAGCGGAACGACTTCTGCCGCCCGGCGGCTCGTGCTGGAGCAGCCGCGAGTTGCTCCAACGCTCCCTGGAGATCTCTGGATGTACCTGGATGTGCCCTGATGCATCTCGATGTGCCTGCACGTGCTTGGATCTACCTCGATGTATCTGCAGCTGCCTGGATTTATCTAACTCGATCCCCACAAGTCGATTGGAGGAAGCCCTTCGGGAGGAGATGCCCCAGAGGCGCGCAGAGATGGCCCACGAGGGCGAGGGCCCCGAACACACCAGGCACGACGACACGCCAGCAACGCGACGGGACGCGGCGAATACGAAGCTGGAAGCCGCGCATATCCCTTCTCGGAGTCGGAGGACTGGCATAAGTCACTTGACTAATCTGCTTTTCGGGCTCAAGAGAGGCGGTGCTAATTTGGTGAATCTCAAAATGGCCCCAAGAGGTCTCCAAGATGGCTCCAACAAACTTCGAATAATCTCCAAGGGCGAAAGATCCGCAATGGCTAAATCGACGTCGCCACCGCTTCCTATTCAATCTCAATATCCTCGCCTTCCGCCTCATCCATACACGAAACGTCAGTAATTGAGAAGCTGGGAGGAAGGGGGTGCAGTGATACAGTATACGTCACAATGAGCCCCAACAAGTACCTGGCGACAGAGGATAATTCGCAACGGGAGAAGCAGACATGTATTTAGACGCGGTCCACATGAGGGGCGCACGTGAGAGAAGATGAGAGAGACGGCCTGTGGCTGAGCCCTGCAAAACAGCGACAGCGCACAGCGGAGGACGCTGGAGAAGCCTGCACACTTGCGAAGAATCGATGTTTCCGTTTCTTCTCCACCCTCTCTCCAAACCCAACAAAAAGGAGAGGCAAACCGAGAAATTGTCCGCTACCCCTCAGAAGGTCTAACGGGATGCGCAGATCAACGAGCACAGCGAGACAATGTGTTCAGATTCGCGATGATGTTTCTTCTGTACCTCTGCGCGCGAACCTGCACCAACTGATTCGGCTGCGGGGCTCTTCAGCAACAGACAATTCCCCTGGAAGTTGTGGGCCGCACCAACGGACATATCAAGACACTGTGTGGACTGATATAACTCACCGAGAGGACTCCGTCCGTCTCAGGATCCGTTCCGGGGTCAAGCGTTTGAGAACTGCTGCTGAAGGTGCAGCCAGCCACCTGAGGCGGTCTGGGCGCTGAGGCAGGCAGGCAGGACGACAATGTATTGGTGTACAGGCCCATTGCCAGAACCGCATCTGTAAATAAAAAAGGCTTGCCGCTCCGTCTGCTCCAGCAGCACCGGGACGACTCCCCCGATTTCGGTGGGCCGCGCCAACGGAATGAAAGTGAAGGATGGCCACAGGAGACTGGCAGCATGGTGGAGGATCAAGATGGGGGAGGAGGAGCCCTAGAAACGGTGTAAGAAGTAGAAGTACGCAAGAATGACGTGGTGGAGGCGGAGGAGGATCTGGCTGCACTGGACAGTGGCGGCGCTCAGAAGGGGGTCAGTGGGAGGGGGGAAGGCTTCTTAGAAGCAGGGGTTTTCCTACGAAGCCTTCCCCTCCCCCTACCCCCCTGTGGGCGCCGCCAAGGACAGCTGGGGCTAGGGGCAACCGTCGGCTATGCCAGCCTCGGTGCAAGGGCGACCGGTCACAGTGCCCCTAACGTGGCGCAAGCACAAAAAAACAGCAGCACCCCAATCCCCAGCACACCACCACGCTTAGGTCGGACATGTTCCCCTACAGGCGGATTTTGGGCGAAAAATGAACAATTGTCAAAAACATTCAAAAAGAACCAGCATGATCATAGAAATCGTGCCGATAATATTTTTTACTATCTTTAAACATATTCCTCCTGTAGAGGGACATGCCCGACTTAACACCACGCCTCTCGTGCACGAGTCCCACCAGCCCTCTGGGCGGAGGTGCTCTGGAGCCTCAGCTCTGGAAGAGCCTCCTCGTCTCTCAACTGGGGGCGCGACACCTCCCTCGTCGCCTGGGGACCGGAGATGGCTGCCAAAAGCTGGCGCGGCGGCTGCGTCTGGCCAAGCGCGGAGGGGAAGGACAAGCAAAGGATGAGCACCCTTGCCGGGCACGGCCTCCTCCCGCTTCGAGGTCGGAAGGGCCGCCCCTGACCCCCACGCTGAGGCGTCGGAGGGGCATCTTGGGGCCGGTTTGTGGCCCTCTTGTGGAGAGGTCTTGGAGGTCTTTGGGGCCCTCTTCACGCCTCATCAAGGCCGCCTCAGATGTCCGTCGGAAGGCGGCAGGGGAAGAAAGCACCGCAGCGACCCACTAGAGCCACCTCACGGCCATGGTGGAAACCCCTTGGGGCATCTGGGAGCCGTACTGGCACGCCGTCGTGGGCCAACATGGCCCGTCGGACGCATACTTTGCATTGTTCAGCCTCGCCTGACCTAGCAGTGTGCAAGCCAGTGGTGCGAAAACGGTAGGTTTACTATTTTCAGAGCAGAGGTGGATTGACCCGTTATGTACAAGGAGGAGGTCCTGCAGACAGGGTGGTGCCTCGTGGGGTTGGAGCGGCCAAACTGGCCCAGGATGGCGTCAAGAATGCCTCATGTTCCCTGGACGATGACGGCGACGAAGTAGATGGTGCTCTTTCCTGGCTGAACCCTGACTCGGCAACCTCCCAGTCGTCCGTCTATCAGCACGGTGACCCTCCAGGTGTATACAGGAAGGGAAAAGGAGATGATGGGGAAGGTATGGGAATGGGTCGGATCGGGCTTAGTGTAGAGAGAAAAGGACTTGAGCCAGAGTGGTTATGGTCCGGTCCCCTCATCTGTAAACACTCTCAAGCTCAAGGACTTTGTGAACTCACCAAAGTCATACGCCAGAGGCACTCAAACGCACAGTGCCCCGAAAAAGAGTGAGCTTGAAGTGATGAGGACCAGACCATTCACTCTGCCTGGAGGGCCATCTGAAATTAGTGAAACAGGATGTGGCACAAGGGACTCCGTCCTCGTACCCGGCAACTCTCTCTTGCGCCGGCGACAACAGCGTTGGAGCGCGAGGTCGCTCCTCTCCGGCCAGATGGCGTTCCTAGAAAGGCAGTCGCCGGCGCTGTGAGAGTCGGACGCAGAGGCAAAAATGAGAGAGCTCCTCTAGCGCTGATCGCGCCTTGGAGCCCTTATCGGCTGCGTCTCTGGGAGTGTCCAGAGCAAAGAGGCAGAAGGAGACAGCGCACCGTGGGGAGGCCTACTGGAGCTGTCGCCTCGATTCGGCTCTGGAACGTCCCTTGGTCCTGGGGTCCTCTTTTCTTTCCTGGATAGCGGACTCCTCCGCCGATAGGCGAAGCATGCCTGACTTGAGCATGGTCAACTGAGCGGCATTAGTCTTGGCTAGATCCGATTTGGTCATACAGTCTACAGGCATCAGCGGATGCGGCATCCACCGGATCGCGCTTCCGATTTTCTCCATAGATGTCCTGACCACCGCTAAGTCTATGGCTGCCCGCCGGTCCGACTTGGACCCCGCCGTGAGCTTTGAGAGCGTGTCGTATATACCCATTGCGTCGACCACGCTCAGGTTCCCGGACTGTGGCTCCCCAAGAACCTGGCACTCGTCCTTTAAGATGGCGACGAAAGGACCTATGTGCTCTCTCCACCTTTCGTGGACCACGTTTCCTCGAACTACATCCAGCAACAAGATTTGAAGCCACTCGGCCTCTCCTAGAGCGCTGGACAATGAAAGAGTCTCCCCAGCGAGGGTGGAAGATACCTGTCGCCTGACTTTCCCAGACCTCCACGCAATCGGAGCGACGCGGGCGCGTGACCCGTGGGCCAGGGAATTGTCGGCAACATATATCTGCCACGCTTCCTGAGGATGCTGCAGACCATCTTTGTCCTCCGCCCCCACTCCACCGCAATCGCTGGCAGTCGCCAGGACGAATCCGTCCGGCTTGAAACGCCACACGATGACGGGAAGCGAGGCCGTCGAGCGTAGATGATCCACCATCTTGTTGGCATCGAGCAGGTCGCGAACGCAAGGGCGATTGACCTTCGTGGCTAATATGGAAGCCGTGCCGGCGGCCTCTGCCCTGGTCTCGCGACCTACCCACTGCAGCTTATAGACGAGGGACCTAAAGGCTGCTACTTCCCCTCCTAGCAGAGGGGCCCCGTGGTCTCCTTTCCTGCCTCGGGCCAGAGGGATCTTCTGGAGCTGCTCTAAAATGTATTTTTCTTGATCCACCAGAATACGATCCCCGTCTAACCTCAATCTCCTCCCGATGTACTCCACCCCTTCCGCGTCCAGTAGACGCATCTTCCCAAAAGTAAACCTGGACTTGAAGGGCTTGATGTACTGATCCTCTGACCCGGGCTTGAACGCGATGGCCCAGTCGTCGACTTCGACGAGCACTTGGGCCTCCAGCCCGCGGTCGGAGCGCTTCACAAACCAGCAGGGCTCTAACTTGGTCCGCTCGAAGCCCTGAGTGTGCATGAAATTAGCTGCGGTGCGGTGAAAGGCTAAAGGGGCATCATCAAGGCCGTAAACTGGGGCTATGAGCTCGATGAGAGATCCTGGCGGTACTGGCACCCCGTCACATGGTTCGACGAAAACCCGACCGCGAGCCCTTTTCAAGGGCTCAGATTGGCAAAACGCGTTTTTGATATCGCCGATGTATATCGTCAATTTATACATGAGCGCCACCACCAAAAACAGCATAAGAGCTTCCATACAGGGGGTTGGGGCGTAGACCTGGAGCTCGCATGTGTCCTCATCTTGGTGCCCACGAACACACCACCTAGATTTAGCCTTAGGTTTAGCAAACGTCCCCTCTTGTGGTTTCCACCTTCTCACCATGCGGCTGGACACGATTCGACTCGGGAAAAGCCTCCTAAGCTCTTTCGCCTTGTCCGGAGGATGGACGATGACGGCACTAGTCCCCTCAGCTATGGCCTTCCACTCGGCCGAGTCCGAAACGTCGAACTCCTTCTTTTCCTCGGAGTTCAGATTTTTATAGTGGACCTCGGCTCCCCGGTTGGTCAAAAGCGAGAGGGAACAATCGCCAGACTCGTGAGGAACTATCTCCACATCGGCGTTGCCGTTGGAGTAGGTGATCCAGGATCCGCTCCAGCCCTCCTCCTGGAGTCTTTGGTCCAGGCCTTGAAAAACGGCTCCAGGGCCCGGACCGCTGCTGGAGCAGGCCTCAAAGAACGCGTCAGCCACGACAGTGGCCTCCTCGGGTCCTGAAGCAACAAAGGTGTCCACAAGAGCCGTGCTCGAGGGAGGACCCGATGAACGAGGTCTGGTATGAGGATGCTGTGGCACCGATTCTAACTCTGAGATCTGCTGCTGAACTCTGCCCGCTGGAGTCCCCCGGAAAGTTTCTCCTGGAGTGAGCCTGGACAATCTATACCCGTCTAACTGTCGATTGTGCCTCACAGCTTCCCGCATCTCGCGCAAGATCCGACCGGGGTCTGAATCGGCATTACGATGTTGGCTCGCTGTATCGGCTACGCTCAATCTCCGAGGATTGATGGGTGGAGCCGCTTCGATAGCGCCACTGGACGGCTCGGGCAACTCTCCGGAGGAAGCGGCCCCCGGCTCTATGGCGCGCCCTCTCTTCTCTCCCTGTGGTGGAGGAGGAGGCCTTCGTCGCGTGCTCCTGCCCGCGGCGCCGTCTCTCTCCGACACGGTGCGGGACGCCGCGCCTGACGGTACGAGAGAGTCCCTTGACTCGGATCGAGACAGAACCCCGGAGTTAGCTGGATCAGAGGAGACTTCCCTGGACATTTGACCTCCCCCTGGCCCGGGATCCCTGGTGTCATCCGAGGGAGCCACCTCTTCTCCCTCCGGAATGGGAGAGAGTCCCGGAGGAGCCTCGAGAGCAGGACCCTCTCGCCCCGCTCTGCCCCCTCGGGGGTCCTCTTCCGTTCCAGAAGGAGGCTGAGGTGATCGCTCGAGCGATTCTCCGGCGGCCGCCCCTGAGTCTCTCTCTAGATCAGGAACGTCAACTCCAGGACCGTCTTCCATGGGTCCCCCCAGGTCCCAGGCTTCCGGAGGAGGAGGGCCTTCGGAGGCCACGTTGGTCCCCGCTCGGTGGCCACTGACTTGGGCCTCTCTGAGAAGCTGTTGAATGGCGGGATCCGCCATAACTTCCCCCCCCCTGGATTCTTCCGTGTTCGCTGGCCTGACTTGCTCCGACGAGCATTTCCAGAGCCTCGATCGCATTGCGACCCATATGGTCCCACCGTTTTGAATCACGACGAGCCCGGGGCCGACCCACCTGTCCTTTTGTAAGGCGTAGGTCTTTTGTCCCCCCTTTGGCGCTCTGCGCCACACGTAGACCCACTGTCCTGGCACAAAATGCTTGTCCCGATGGGTGGGCGCCTTGACAGCGCTGGCCAACTTCTTTAAACTGGAACTCTCAAACAGCTCCTTGCGAGCATGCCGGCGAATGGCATCTCGCCTCGCAAACTCCGCTGACGCGGTGTCTCGGTCCCAGGACCCGGGAGATAAATCCTCGACTCCAACGACCTGAATCGGATCGTCGGCCAAGATATCGTTGGGAATCCTGGGGTTTATCCCGAAAACGAGTTGATAGGGAGTGAAACCCCCCCGGTGCAGGTATCTGTTCTTGGCCGCGGTGACCTCGTGAACCAGTGTTTCGAGTTCCGGCACCGTGGTGACGAGAGTCGTCTCGGAGGCCTTGAGCAGAATTTCTTTCACCCATCCTCCGTGCCTTTCTGCCCTGCCGTTCTGCCAGGGGCTCTCGGAGTCCGTGATATGGTGAAATATCCCTAAATGTTCCACCCCCCTCTCGAACTGTCCCTTGAACTCGGGGCCGCCATCTGTGATGGCGAACACTGGCGGGCCGAAAGGTCTTACCCAGGCACGCATGAACGCTCGCCAAGCGCCGAGAGCCGTGCCGTCGTAGAGCTCCACAACCTGAAAGTTTGTCCCGTGACATATAACGTTGAGAAAGGCCAGCTGTTGGTCCTTGAACGTAAGAAAAAACGTGTCAAGGGCAATGATTTTGTTAAACTCAAACGTCTTCGGGACCGCGGCTGGCCGACTAGCGGCCGTCCTGGAATGGGCCTGACAGTCCCCGCACGTGAACTCGTCCCGGACGCATCGCAAAACCTCTGGTTTCGCCTGGGCCGCCTTGAGTATTTTAAGAAAGACGTCTTTGTGGGGGTGAGCTAAGTTCACGTGAACTTTGTGTATCATACGCTTCACCGGGGCTGTGATGACGAATTTCTCGTCTTCAGGCCCCGGACCTTCCTCGGCTTCCGCTTCCTCGCCCTGTTCGTCGTCAGGGCGGGCGTCCTCGCTCCCTCCGGCTGCCGCCTCGGTAGGGCTGGGAGCCTCCCCAGTCCCCGTAGGAAAGCACAACCCCCCCGGCGGCTCAACTAAGAGCTGGTACTGTGGCCTTCGGACCACTCTAACTTCCTCGGGGGTGGGGCCCGGGTGAGTGTTTTCCACGCTGGACCTGATAGCCTCGGCCAGGGCCCTCGCGAACTTTGGCGGGTAAACGCGAGCCTTCGATGTCATTCCTCCCCCGATCAACTGAGCGTGCACGTGATCCCCGGAACACTTGGCGGAGAGAAAACGGTCCAGGAACCGGGGGCAGTTAGACATCAAACGCGTCGGCTTTCGAGACAGGTCTCCGCTCTTGTCGACACTGAGACCGAAGTAGCACATGTCTATATTTGTGTGTCCTACCCCTTCCAGTCCCAAAATGTGCTGAACGGCCTGGGTCGACCAGGAGGATGCACCTGAGGGGTGCTCAAAAGCGAACTTGCGGCCGCCCTCGACCTGTATCATAGCGATCTCCACGGCAAAACCTAGGAGAAGCAGTGCCTCGGCATCCTTCTGCCGCTGCCCTTCGGTCATCTCCCGATGAGCATAAGCGTTCCTGGATATCGAAAATGGGCCACAAGGAGGTTCCAGGAGGACCATCCAGGGCTCCTTCTTCCTCACCAAGGCTTCAAACTTGTCCCGATCCCCTTTCCTAGTGAAATCCCAACCTCCCTCCTTATCAAAGCTGCCTAGACAGGAGACCCCGGCGTGCTGAGCAAACCGCGCCACCCGCGGAGGAGAAAAGACCTCCATGAAGGCCCGATTCCGCAGATGGGTCCTAAAACACTTAGTAAGCTTATATCGCTCGGAGATGCCGGAATCTCTAAGCATGTCTTTCCTTTGACGTCGGGTCATCATAACTTCTGATTCGTCGGAAAAGGGATCATGAAAGATGGCGTCATCGAGCTCTGGACACACGAATCGAACCTTCCCGTTTTCTTCCCCTTTCCATTCGATATCGAAGTGGTCCTGAAAGGCCTGACATCTTTCAGAGGCTACCTCGAAGAGACTGCTGAGATTGGCGTCCCCGGTCCTGGTACTGGCTCTCTCGGATCCCGGGGCGCTCTGGACAGCGCTCGAGATCGGCTCTACCGCTTCTGGCCGCCCTTGTCCCACCTCTGGTCGCCGCTGTTCCAGCCGCCCCACGACTTCCACCCCGCTGCCGTCCAGCCATCCCGCGCCAGACGGTCCTTGTCGCGCTTGGCCGCCTCCTCCGCGTCCTTCCGGCGCTGGTCCCGCGCCTGCTTCTCCTCGGGCGACTCCTTCCAGGGATCTCCTTGCTCGGCAGAGGGCCTCGAAAGGTGAGAAGGTCGCTTCTGCGGAGCTGCCGCTGCCAACTGTTGTGAAGGCAAGGCCGATCCTGGGAGATCGATACTGCTGATCGTGGTAGAAGACAACAGGTTGCCCCTCTGGTCCATCAGGCCCGTCGGGTTGTCCGGGCCTTTGCCGTGACCTTTCGCCTGTCCCTGCGGCTCCTGCAAGGGTGGTGTTGCCGCGTAGTTCGGGTAGGCGGCAACCAACGGCGCGGTCGTGATCATCTGGATGGACGCCTCTGGTGGAACCTGCTGCGTTGCAAGATGTGGGGTCGTAGCTATCGACGTCTGGCGTCCTCCGTCGGGTGTCCCGATGTAGTGGTGAGGAACTCCTCCACGAGCGCCCGGTCCACTGGGAAGGACTGAGGGAGCGCCTCCGCCACCGTTGGGAAGAACCACTGAGGCGAACCCTTTTCCCGGCATTGCTGGCTCTGCCATCGCCGATGGGATTGGTTTTGCTGGGCCTGGCTGCATCTCCTGCTTCGATTCTGGCTGCTGCGACGATTGCCCCGGTGACCTTGACTGCTGCTCCTTGATCGAGGACTGCTCCTTGACCGGGCTCTGGGCCTGCATCTGGGACTGGAGCAGCGCCATCGCATGCATCTGGCCGGATGTCACCTTCGTCAGCTGGCTGATCGCGTTCTGCTGTGCCTCCTGCTTGGCGCTCATGTCCCTCAACATCTGCATCACCTCTGAGAGATCCTCGCCGTTCTCTGGCTTCCGACTGCGCGGCTCCCGAGGAGTAGCTGGCCCTGACGCTGCCGCCGCCGCTGCGACCTCCTGTCGTTGGAGTTGCTTCATGCGACGCAAGTCGCCCTCCGCCTCGCTCATCACCCAGTCCGCCCGGTCGGCCTCGCTCGCTCGGGTGTAGTGCTGAGCGGCTCCCGACTCGGCCTGGGCTGGCCAAGGCGGTGGCACTCCAGCGGGCGTGACCCCGCGAGTGCCGGGCGGCGGCGCTGGAGCGGCCACTAGAGCCCGCCATTCTGGGTCTGCGCCCTTCTGTTGAGCGAAACCCCGCCCACAGAGCGAGCACGCCGCAGTCCTGCGCTTGCACAGACATGTCACGTCCGGCTCCTTCTTCGTCTTGTCTGGCTTCTTGTCGAGGTATCCAACTCGCATGGTGCAGTCCGAGCAGACCCACCAGGCACCATATCCATTGCAGCCGTAGTCGACGCTGATCGGGGGATGCCAACAAGTATAGTAGGCCTGGGGCACGACCTTCAGCGACTTCGGCAGGTTGGTGGGCCAGAATCTGCGCGTCACCATCATGCGCCCAAACTCGTCGGCGAGCTTGTTGAGCCAGAACATGGTGCTGCCGACCATGCATGCCCAGCTGCGCTGAGCCTTGTTGAGGTGGTCCGGTACTGTCGTGCCCGTCACAGCGTATGTCCAGGTCGTGTCGGTGCCGGCCACCTGCTCGGCCATGGTGGCCGGGCGCCTCTCGCGAAGCTGAGCCTCGGTAGGTTGCGCCTTCCTCGGCATCGCGACTGCTGATTCCTGAGAGCTGTCGTACTCGGTGGTGTGTGCGGACAGCGTCGTCGAGATCGAGATTGGCCCAGATGCTTGAGCCAAGGAGCTGCCCGAACGCGAGCGACGTCAATAGACAACCCACTCTCCACGTGCTGCTTCTCGACCGGGTCTCCGATCTGGACCAGGTCGCGCTTGTGGTGCTGCTCTTTCCTACCTCCTTTCCTGATGTGTCTCCCTTAGTGTGGCGGTGACCCGATCCAGATCGAAGATCCGACATCTGACGGTGCTTGCTTTCCCCGAACGGCATCCTCGACCCCTCCGGGTCTTCCGGAACGCCCAAGCTAGAAACGGCAGGACTCGGTCCCAGGGCCCTAGGGTCGCCACGGCCAGACTCGGCTAGGCTCTCTCGGCCTCCCTGGTCGCTGCTGGAGGCGAGGTAGAAGGGTGTGTACTTTCCCGAGCTGCCTGAGCGGCCACAGTCGCAGTGAAAATCACTCTCTTTCAGCGAAGGATGCCGCTGAAAGACCGCCTCTGGGCACTTGAAATCGGCGCCCGAGGCCTGAAAGTCATCAATCCTGATGGTGCGGTGCCCACTGGGCAGACGATTCATGCCTACCTTGACTCCTAAACGCTTGAGGTCCATGGTGTTTTCTTCCAAATCGATCTTGGACCCCAGCATTTCTTGAAATCCTACTGGGAGGAGAGGCGGGACGTCCTCCTGAAGGACATCTAGCTCGATGATTCCGGACTTTCCCTGGATCCCCGTGGGAATGAGGGCTGTGTGAAGCACCCTCGTGCCTCCGCCCACTCCCCGAGCTGACGGGTTCCGAGGAGCCACGAGAGGGACCCTGAGGCCCTTTCTCCTCAAAACTTCTACATGCTGGCTCAGAGAAGGCTTTCCGATCAGCCCCTGTCCTGCTGCGGTGTCCACCACCGCCTCCCCGGGCGGGACGGTGAGAAGCACCAGCTCGTCCTGCTGCTGTCGCTCCTGGCCGCTGGACACGTCCTCCGGGGCGTTGGGGTCGACCACGTTTGCGTACACGTAGCCGGTGACGAAAGACGCCGTCCCTCCTCCGGTTGCACTGGCGCTGTGGCTCTGGCCGCTCCGGTCTGGACATTCGCGTGACCAGTGGCCCTTCTTGCCGCAAGACCTGCACTTGGTCCTCTTGATCAGCTCCGCGAGAGGTAGTCGATTGCGTCTGGGTCGATGCTCTCCTTTCGCCGAGCGATGTCCCCTGTTGAACTTGCTCTTGTCGCCGCTCTTGATGTCGTTCTCTTTCGAGCGGTCGAAGAACTTACGGTCCACTTTGAGCTTCCTCTTCAAGTCGCGGTTCTGCTTCCATGTCTTGCGCCTGTCCTCTTGCATGGTGTTGAACACGTACTTGAGCTCATCGTCGTACAGGTCCATCTTGTCCAGCGCTACATATATCTCTGCCTCACCCTCAGTGTCCAAAGAAGATACGTCGTCCCAGTCGAGTAGAGAGTCCGTGTCCTGGTCGTCAACGGAGTTGGGCTCATGAACAGGGAAACTTGATTTGACGACCTCCGGCTGCTCGACGTGGTAGGCTCGAGATCGGTGATTGCTAAGATGTTCCCGCCTGGTCACGTCCATCTCTCGGATGGCTGCCAAGGCTTCTTTGTAGGAATCCTTTGTTTTCATCTGAATCTTCATCAACTGAGTACCTCTCTCGTCCAGTCCAGCTCCCTCTTCCAAGAACATATATTTCCAATCATCTGGTAGAGGAAGCCCGAGGGTACCGACCTTGTCGAAAGCCAGGTCCAACCTTGCTGCGTACTCAGTGAGTCCTTCTCCTTGCTTGCGTTGAAACGAAAACAAGCATTCACGTCCTGCTTTACGCTTCTCGTCTCCGACTCGTTCTCCCGAGAGCAGATCCAGCCTGGCTATGACCTTGTCTGCTCCGTTGTCTGATATCAGATCCTCGTCGGTGATGTCTTCCAGCTTCCGCTGCAAGTCGATCGGCAGCAGCTTCATGATGCGGTCCGCGTGCTTGTGTGTCTCCACATCTGTCGTCTGCCGCCATCGCATCACCTTCCGCCGCCATAGCTTGAACTCTGACCAGCCCGGCCACGCCTCAGGATCGGCGAAGTCCCTCCCGCGCCTCTCTTCGGTCTTCCACTTCTCGGTCCCCGACGCCTCACCCCACTTGCTGCCGTTCCAGTCGCGGCTCCGCCAGTAGTTCGACTGCCATTCGTTCGACGTGTCTCTCCAGCTGTCGAACCTGTCCTGCCAACCGTTGGAGTGATCCTTCCAGCTGGCGTACTTGTCTGTCCAGCTGCTTGAAGCCTGGCCCCACGGATCTTGTCCGTCTGACTGCCAAGGATCTCGTTCCCCTCGTGGAGCTGGACTGGCGACAGCTGTGTCGCCTACTTTGCTCCAACGGGCCGACGAGTTCCATGACAGCTGGTCGTCCCGTTCGTCTCCTTGGCCATTCTTGGTGTTGTCCGCGTCCGCCGTGGCCTTTGAGCTTACGCCCTGACCGGCACTCGACGCTTCTGTCACCATGAGACTCCTGGCCTGCTCTAGGAACGTACGCATTTGTTCCGCCGTGATGTGGAACTGTCCGTCCTCGTTCTGCCACTGTTGCGCGATCTCTATGACCTGCTCGATAGACTCCTGGCCACTGCTCCGAGTGCCGCCATTCGAGTTGTCACCATTCTCCGCTTCCGTCATGTTGTTGTCCGCAGATCGACCGAAGCGTCCTCAGACGCTCCGCTACCACTGTTCCCTGGACGATGACGGCGACGAAGTAGATGGTGCTCTTTCCTGGCTGAACCCTGACTCGGCAACCTCCCAGTCGTCCGTCTATCAGCACGGTGACCCTCCAGGTGTATACAGGAAGGGAAAAGGAGATGATGGGGAAGGTATGGGAATGGGTCGGATCGGGCTTAGTGTAGAGAGAAAAGGACTTGAGCCAGAGTGGTTATGGTCCGGTCCCCTCATCTGTAAACACTCTCAAGCTCAAGGACTTTGTGAACTCACCAAAGTCATACGCCAGAGGCACTCAAACGCACACTCAGACATCCCGAGACATCCTGATATGACCTCCACGATGGCGAAAGATGCAGTAGGAGCTCGACCACACGAAACCTTCCACAAGGAACCCAACCCTGAGACCCCAGGACGTCCATTGACTTTTGGTGTTGGAACGTCACGCTTTCCATAGCAAAACCATCGAAACCCAAGAAACCAAGGGTACCCTGGAGGCAAGCAGGGTGTTTCTTGGCATGGGTTTCCACTGTAGCCCAAGGCGGCCCAGATTGAATCCAGCATGGCTCCAAGAGACTCCAAGAAGGCTTAGAGATATGATCGCCAGGCTCGAGACCCCCTCCCAATAGTACATCGCCAGGGAAAAAACACTGAACAGCACTACACACATTTGACAATGACAGGCTTCGACATGTTTTTATGTCTCGCGCGTGCGACATCGGATGGGCCTGTAAGGCCTTGGATGGCCCCACGATGGACCCAGGGGGGGGAGGGGAAGGGGCCTGGAAGAACATCTGGAGGGCACCACAGGTCCCCAAAAGCTTCCCAAGAAGCCCCAAAACGGCCCGACGGCGGCCTTTTGCTCAGGCTCTCGATGGAGAGGCCCCTTCTTGGCTGATGGCCTCTGGGATGACCGCTTGGCCCGACGCTCCAAGAGAGCACCAAAGGCTTCCAAAGGGCCCCTAAGATACGGTCAGAAACGTTTGCTTACAGCGTCGCTGCGGCGGCCCCCTACAGGCGGATTTTGGACGACTAGTTAAAAGTACTCAAAACATATTCAAAACTCATCACAAATACCCCCAACGAAAGACCTTCCCATGCTCTTCTTTTACTATTTCTGACTATTCCTCCTGTAGAGGGACAGGCCCGACTCAAGGCTACGCCCCATGCCCTGCAGGCGGACAACCTGTCGCTCCGAACCGCGGGGCGGGAGGCTGGGAAACGCTCGGGACGTCGACACCTGGGACCTGGAAGCGCTGAGCGTGTCTGGCCGAAGCGCGGTGGGCCAGAGCAGGCGTGGCGATGCGATGAGCACAAGTTCCAGTAGCCCCAAATACAAGATTCGGCCTGACCTAAGGAGCGATAAATCATGAGCGAAGCACCTGTTTTTTTCCGAGTGAATCCAGGAAGTCCGAAAAAAAAGGGAGGCTCGCCGCCACAAAGGTAGCGGAACGCGCGCAAACCCAAGGAACGACCGAGCCTCTTTTGAAAAGTAAGTGTTCCTTATTATTCAAGCCCGACCCTGTAGCTCGTTGGAGGCGGCCGGGGGTCGGGTTGGGATCCCAGAAAGACGGTGAGGGGGGAAGGACTGGCGCAGCTTTCACCCTGGATCCATTTTTTACGGTCCCAGGTTCCCGAAAACGGCCCCCGGAGACCGAGTGAAGCAAAAGAACATTCCCGAATCCAGAACCTCGAACCTGTCCGCCCATCCTGCTGGCCAGAACCAATGCTGGGCCACCTCAGACCCCCAGACAGCTCCACATGCAGTGCGGGCGCGGCCGCATTAAAACCCCCGCAAGAAACCCAACCTGGAAGTCCTAACACTTTCTTGCCCAAGGTCTGGGTTTCTTCCCAAGGGCTCCAAGCGGAGAAATGCAGGGTGCCCTGCCCCAAAAAGTTTCTTCCCCGAGAATGCTAAGGAAATGCGCGAGGTGCGATTAAAGGGGAAAACCATTGTACCCTGACGGCAGCAACTTTTTTTAAACGACCAGGGCAAAGTCACCGCGCATCGCTGGGAACGAAGAAACCCAGGGCACCCAGGCGAAATCCATGTGGTTTCTAAGTGCGCGCCCCCACTGCAACTCGCATGGGCCAGCCTCAAGGTGACTCCTGGCGGTCCAAAGAGTTGGCAGTTGCAGGGGCGGCTCAGGCTGCGCCCGACGTCGGTCTGACGAATGATCCTCCGCGCCTCTCCAAAACAACTCGTCCAATAATCGTTACTGGAATGTTATGTTGCATCCTCGAAAGACCTTGTCTGTCCCGTCGCGGCCGTATCCGCGTTGAATATGTGTCGAATCAATGTCGGCATCGTCGGATCCGTGTCGAGTCCGCGTCTCATCCGCGTCGAATCCACGCCAAGTCCGCGTGGAGTTCGCATCGAGCCCGCGTCGGGCATACGAAAAGACACCAATGTTGGGGACAAGCGAGGCCCCCCGAAGATACAACGTAACGAAAGGGCTCTTCGAAGTAACGTGGTTTTAAAACACATGCTGTTGCAAACGCTTATCATACCTCGGGGTATCCCTCGGAAAACAGCTGACGCGGCGACCGAAGGACATTTGACGAGAAGACGAGGAGTGCTGAGGAGGGAGCTAGCCATTAACTAAAGAGGAGGAGGAGGAGGAGGAGGAGGAGGAGGAAAGAAGGGGAAATAGAAGGAGGATGAGGAAAGAAGGAGGAAGAGGAGGAGGAGAAGGAGGAGCATAATAAGGAGGAGGAGGAGGAGGAGTAAGAGTAGGAGTAGGAGTCAAGCTAGCCAGCTCGAGCGAGTCAAGCATGGCATGCCCAGTCCCACCCGCCCTCCCACAACATAAGAAGCAAAGCTGGCACAACTGGGGGCCGAAGTCACACCGGCCAGCCGGTTTGGTACAGCTGATGCGGCCGCGATGGCGGTTGCCGACGGGAACTGGCGAGCGCGTGTTGAATGCCGCGCACGCATTGCCAGACGAGTCGAGAATGGCCCGGTACACCGCAGGAAGCCAGAGGTGGCCGGAGGAAGCCCGACGGTCTGACAGGACACCCCAAAGCATTTTTGTGAAAAAGCATTGGGTTTTTGATGTTTTTATGTTGAAATGCTTGCAAACACACGGTGTTCGGTAGGATTCTGACATGAACGCGCGAGTGTGCTCTTTGTGTATTTTTTGCACAGGATTCGCGGCCTGGGTGCATGACAGAGCATCGCGAGTGCACCGCGCGATGACGTGAAATCGCTGGATTTGACCGAATTCTTAAGATTCCTATGGTTTTCCTATGATTTCAGCAAGAGAGCCCGGGCGGGAAATTTGTACAATTTTTGTGAAAAAGCATTGGGTTTTTGATGTTTTTATGTTGAAATGCTTGCAAACACACGGTGTTCGGTAGGATTCTGACATGAACGCGCGCGTGTGCTCTTTGTGGTATTTTTTGCAATGGATTATCGCCGTGGACGACAGGACGTCCATGTCGAGAGGAAAAAATAAGAAAAATGATGATTTTGTATTGTTTTTTACAAGTTAGGATGGGACCACCCGGATGCGCCCGCTATCTGCCGGCCTGAGGGGGGAGTAGGAGTATATTCTAATAAGGAATAAGGATGGGAGCAGGAGGAAAATAAGGAGGGGGAGGAGGAGGGGGAGGAGGAGGAGGAGGAGGAGGAGGAGGAGGTTTTAGGACCAGTCCTTTAGTCACAGCCCTATGAGCAAAAAAGGGGGGACCAGAACTAGAGGCCTACCGCGGTTACAAATATGCGCCAGGACAGAGGGCGGCACCGCGCCGACTGCGCTTCGCGGCGGCGGCTGGCTGGCGCCGGCCACCGAAGACTCCGTCCGGGGTGTCGGGAGCTCGAGAGCAGCTGCGGGAGGGCCAATGCCAGCCGCCTTCGGGCGTGGCCGACGTGCCCCTGGCTGGCACGAGGCGGCTCCAGGTCCTCCAGGGAGGTCCACGCGGCCTCCAGACGTCGCGCACGGGGGCCCCCTCTCGGCGGAAATCGGCAGCCAAGTCAGG